AAGAAAATAAAAGTTGTAAAATATATATTTCATGCACGTAATATAAAAATAATTATTTAAATAAATTATATACATTGTATATTCTTGAAAATTACGCTCAATTATATTATTATGTTTCTACCAACTTTCTGACGACACAAATTTATGTTAGAGGAAAGCAGGGGAACTATCTGCATATGGTAAAATATGCTATATTAAGTCGTGCATGGAATATATATAATATAATTGAGCATAATTTTCAAGAATATATATTGTATATTATAAAAATATATTTATTTAAATAATTATTTTTATACTACGTGCATGGAATATATATTTTACAACCTTTATTTTCTTTCACTCTGAATTGTGCAAATGAATTTTTAAATTTTTGTTGTTAATTCTAAAATTATTATTTCTAATAAATTATTCTAATTAATTTTTTTTTACTATGCTCATTATTTTGTTATTTCGGCATTATATATGCTTAGGTACTTTTTATTTTTTTTAATTTATAAATAATATTTATTTATTCTATAGGTAAGTCCATAATGTAAATTAAAAAGGAAAAAAATCATAATACTAAAAAGTTTTAAAATAAATAAAAAGAAGATAAATGTTTATAATTTAGAGGGTAAAATAGGTATTTGACACTCTAAAATTTGGAAAATCTAGTGCAATAGGCATAGTTCAGTGACTTTGTTGTTACAAATGAAAGAAAAGTGATTTTAGGAAATAATTTGGGATAATTGAGTGACCATTTGAGTAATGCACTCAAAATTTCTTCGGAACATAGGTGGTATTCAAAAAAATTTCGGGGAGAAGGTGAGAGACCATTGCACTCTTAAATATGGAGTAAATTGTCAATTACTTCCAAAAGTTAAGTTGAAGTAAGTTCTAGTTTTTGCTCAAGCAGCCATGCGGTCTTAGGCTTTTCTCCTACATATAAGTTCTTTTTTTTGTTGTCCATTTTAATTTTTTCTTCTTTTTTCCTTCAAAATTGTGGTAGAATAATTGTTTCAATTTTTCTTATTCAACAAGAAGAAATTAAATCTGTGAAAATAACAACATTTATGGAGGAAAAAGTAGCTTGAATATTGACCTCAAAACCAACTAGTTCCGGGAAGACTCCATTTTGTTGTTAATATAGTCTCCAGTACATTCAAGAATAAAAAAGAGAAAAAGGCAATGTCCATGTCACATAATAAAGTCGTAATCCAAAATGTCCACGTAATATAGCCAATCCTCCATCGTGTGGCCATTAGGAATTCGTAATCCAAAAATGCACATAATTTTCTTTCTCATATACTCCAAATAACTCGTGCTATAAATATTCTCTCCCTTCGCATCTCTATTCAACAATCACCTATTTGTCTCACCAAATACTAAGAGCTACTGATCAGTTGTTTGATTTTCAGCGTAGTCAAAACAATGGCTGCCTCTGTCTCAACTGTAGCATCTGCCAACAAAGTACCGGTACTGTATTCTTCTCTTTACAATTCAAGACTTGTCAACTTGCTTATTATAGTAGTTAAATAATGTAGAATCTAAACTGTCTTTAGTTTGTTTTAGTCTAGGTTTCTATGAATCTGTTCTGTTTACTATGATTCTAGCGTTTTTTTTTAGGTTAGTTTGTCTATCTCATGCAGTCAATTTCTACTAGAAACAAAATTAATTTCAAGTTGATCTATTGGCTTGTATCTTATGTACATTAATAAGTAGTCACATGCTGTCAAATAAAAGGGCAGTCCGGTGCACTAAGCTCCCGCTATGCGCAGGGTCCGGGGAAGAGCCAGACCACAAGGGTCTATTGTACGCAGTCTTATCCTGCATTTCTGCAAGAGGTTGTCTCTCGCTATGCGCAAGGTCACATGCTGTCAAATGGCATGTATAAAAGAGATTCATGGGTGATAGTAATAGTAATATACTTTTAATGTGTTCTTAGTTAAAGATTAGAACTTTAGATAGAATTTGTCATTTATTTGATGGAAATGTTGAATTGTTAGAAAAAGGTGGCAAGAAATTTCATTGATATTGGAGATGATCACATATAAAATTGATACATAGGGTGCTATGTGAGAATTGATATACTTAAACTGTGCTTAATATTGAACCAGATCGGGTACTAGTTGCTCCAGATTGTGTAGTTTTTTTCCAGAATTTGGGTACTAGCTGCTCTAGATTGTGTACCTTGTTCAAGAATTTACTATGAATTTGCAACATAGGATGCCAAAGGAAATTATATTTATACACGGCCTGTGATTTTTATTGAAGCAAATTGTGTACTAGTAGAAGTAGATTGTGTACTTCGTTCAAGAAATTTTACTATGTTTAAGTGCCTCTTACTAAGAAAACATCCTTTGTGCAGTTGAGTTTGAACAACTCTGTTGCTGGAACTTCAGTTCCAAGCACCGCCTTCTTTGGCAAGGCGTTGAAGAATGTGAACGCCAAAGGCGCTTCCATCCCCAAGGTCTCGAACAGGAGCTTCAGGATTGTAGCTCAAGAGCAAGAAATAGATGAGAAGAAACAGACCGACAAGGACAGATGGAAGGGACTTGTTATGGACATGTCCGATGATCAACAGGATATCACGAGGGGTAAGGGTATGGTCGACACCCTTTTTCAAGCTCCTACGGGTACTGGTACTCACCATGCTGTTTTACAATCCTACGAATACATCAGTCAGGGTCTTCGCCAGTAAGTTGAGGGTTTTGGAAATTAAGATATAGAATTAATCCGAAAAATATGTAAATAAATGAAAAATTGTCACCTGATTTATTTCAGATACAACTTGGACAACACATTGGACGGATTCTACATCGCTCCTGCTTTCATGGACAAGCTTGTTGTTCACATCACCAAGAACTTCTTGAAATTGCCCAACATCAAGGTCAGTAATAGTAACAATGTTTATCTAGAAATTCTCTTTCCCTTACTGTCGTTTATGGTACAAGGTTTTATGTTTTAATCTTGTCAAATTTTCTTACAGGTACCACTGATTTTGGGTATATGGGGAGGCAAAGGTCAAGGAAAGTCTTTCCAGTGTGAGCTTGTCTTCAGAAAGATGGGAATCAAGTGAGTAATGACTTGATCACATAAGATGATTTTTTGAAAGTTCATTTTGTCAGAAGGGAAGCCTTGGTGTAACTGTTAAAGTTGCTGCCATGTGACCAGGGGTCACGGGTTCGAGTCGTGGAAACAACCTCTTGCAGAAATGTTGGCTAAAACTGCATACAATAAATCCTTGTGGTCTTGTCCTTCCCCGGATCCCCCGCATAGTGGGATCTTAGTGCACCGTGGTGCCCTTTATTTTGTCAGACGGAATGGATGAAAATTACTCAACTGTGTTCGCATCTTTAATATTTGCAGCCCCATCATGATGAGTGCTGGAGAATTGGAAAGTGGAAATGCAGGAGAGCCAGCAAAATTGATTAGGCAAAGGTATCGCGAGGCAGCAGAAATAATCAGGAAAGGAAACATGTGTGTCCTCTTTATCAACGATCTCGATGCAGGAGCTGGTAGAATGGGTGGAACTACACAGTACACAGTTAACAACCAAATGGTGAATGCCACCCTCATGAACATTGCTGATAACCCGACTAATGTCCAGCTCCCCGGTATGTACAACAAGCAAGAGAATGCCAGAGTCCCCATTATAGTTACAGGAAACGACTTCTCCACATTGTATGCTCCTCTTATCCGTGATGGTCGTATGGAGAAGTTCTACTGGGCACCAACCAGAGAGGACAGAATTGGTGTATGCAAGGGAATTTTCAGAACTGACAGCGTACCAGATGAGCACGTTGTGAGGCTTGTCGACGCCTTCCCTGGCCAATCTATTGGTAAGACCACTCAAAAGTGTTACAATAATTTTCTTTTTCAAAAAAAGGACTTTCAAATGATGATAACTTATGGGTATAATTTTGTTTGTATCACAGATTTCTTTGGTGCTTTGAGGGCAAGAGTATACGATGACGAAGTCAGGAAGTGGATTGAAAACACTGGAATTGAACAGGTTGGGGAAAAACTGTTGAACTCAATTGATGGACCTCCAACTTTTGAGCAACCAAAGATGACAATTGACAAGCTGCTCGAGTACGGAAACTTACTTGTCCAAGAGCAAGAGAATGTGAAGAGAGTTCAATTGGCTGACAAATACCTCAAAGAGGCAGCACTTGGAGATGCAAATGCTGATGCCATCAGCACTGGAAACTTCTAATGTTAGCACGAACCTTTCATTGAGCTAAATCCTAAAGAAAAGGTTAGCCATTCGTTTAAAATGTTTTAGCGATCAAATAGTAGATGTCATATATAGGACTGATTTAAAATTTCATTATTGTGTGGATGCAGGAACCGCAACAAACATTGATCCACCTTCTACAAGTGATGAAGGAACCTATGTCTTCAAATTTTAAGGAACTTTTGTAATGGTAGCTATAGAATATGAATTGTGTAATCCATGAAATCTGTTCAGTTGCATTTATAAGGGAAGACGAACTTTAAGTATCTTTCTACTGGGCTTGTTTTTTCTTCTTTTCTTGTTTTATTTTTTCTGCTATTCTCTACATTCTCCTTTGTTGGGTTCATGAGAACTAAAGCTGCAAATTTATCAGGTCTGTTCTTTATGTTTGCAATTGTTTGTTGCTCTCGGACGATCATTAGAAGAACCATCAATGAAATTACAACAGCAATGAGATAGAATTGTACCTACCATACAGATTTTGTTTAATATGTGTATGTTAGAGCGTCTATATAAGCTAAATCTCAATGATATTCATTATATAAATCGTTGTTTATTTACATTGTTCAGAACAATGTATGTATCAGACAATATTGTAAGTCATGCACAATGTAAAATAACTTGTCTATGTTATATCAAGTTTAATAACATGAGTTTCAAAACAAATACAGGTTGGCCTTTAAACAATTCACGGATTGACCAAAATCAAAATAAAATAACGTTCACATCAGTAGTGCCATTGAATGACATGATTGGTAGATCGGGACGAGTGAATGCCTCTCTATAATCTCTGTTCTTGTGAAGGCAAAACCGAAGCACGACACATTGGACAATCTTTCTTCCTCCACAACCATTGTTTAATGCAGTCCGTATGATACTCGTGCCCACACTGCAGTTTCCCTATACTCTCCTCATCTTCATATTCAGATTGACATATAGCACAGGTTTCGGGTTCTACATCAGAAACAACTCCATCCTTAGCAAGAGAATGATGTGTTCTTATTTTCAAATGCTTCAATACAGCATCATCGTTCTCTTTCTCCTCATCATGACCATCCACGTCATCCTCACGATCAAATAGATGATCATACAGAAAGCCAAAATCAAAGGCTGAATTTGCCTGCTGACCGATCAGATGATCAAGCATTCCAGTACTAATATCTATCAACTCACGTGGATCATTAGTGACATAGCTATCATCAATTAATTCATAATTAGGCACACGACAATACCTCCAAATTAGCCCATATTGGCCATGGTTGTCTACTACAACTGTCGGTAATAAGACCATATCAACTGAATAATATGGCGGAGAAGGTTGAAAAGCAGAGGTATGATTCCAATATTGTTGAGCAAAAACTTCATCAATTACTGTTGGGTAAGAACCAACTCCGAAAGAAGGATAATTCGTGCTTGGATTGTGAACTCTCTGATGTTGTCTAGAAGACTGGTAATAAGGGCGCCTTTGAACATTACGCCGATAGCCTCTTTGTTGTTGGTGATTGCCATAATAATTGGGTGAGGAATGGCGTGTGTGATTATGGGGAAGTTGGGAAGAGCGATGAGTTTGCAGAGTACTCATAGTTTCTTTGATGGAGAAATAAGCGAACAAAGTTGTGGACGTTCTTTGAGTTCTTGAAAAGAAACAAAGAGCAGAGAAACTAATGTAATGAGGAGACAACCTTAAAGCTGCAAACGAGGTATAAATAGAACTAACTCTTTTGTAATAAGTTTGTATTCCTAATTTAGTTTGGAGTCGGTTTTACTCGAATGGCCGTTAATATCCAATATGGTATATTTTCCTAAATGGGCTGTCAGGCAGCTGTATTCCCAATTTTGAATACCTGTTAGCCGTTAATACCGTTGTGGTATTTATTTCCTAAATGGGCTATTGTTTGTATTCCTATTTTGGGAGAAATTCAAAAATAGCCAGATTTACAACTGGTCATTCAAAAATAGCTTAGTTTCAAAAGTAATCGAAATTTAACCACTTTTCATGTAAAGATAAATCTGAGCAAAAACACTGTTTAAACCCCGAAAAATACGTCAGTATATTATGCTGGAGTTCCAGCATAAGTATGCTTAAACTCCAGCATATTATACTGGAGTTCCAGGATAAGTATGCTGGAACTCCAGCATAATATGATGGAGTTCCAGCATAAGTATACTGGAACTCCAGCATAATATACTGGAGTTCCAGCAAGTATAATTGTCCAGTATAATATACTGGAGTTTGGAGCACCGGTGCTCCAGTCTCCAGTATATTACACTGGAGTTAACAAAGTATACCGGTCCAGCATAATATGCTGGAGTTCATAATCGAACTCCAGTATATTATGCTGGACCGGTCTCTGTTGCAGCAAAATAGTGGCTATTTTTCATTGACTTCGTAAACGCTGACTATTTTTGAATAACCAATCCGAAAATTGGCTATACCGTGCTATTTTTACTAGTTTGTCTTGAAATTGGTTTTACTGTGATGGCCGTTAGTTCCACTATGGCATATTTTCCCAAATGGGCTTCCGCCGTAGACACTTGAATTAGTTTTACTGGATTTAGTCCATACAAAATTTAGGTTATTTTAATATATTAATTATTGGAAATTTTACCTCTTATAACAAACTATTACACCCTATTTATTATAAACCAAAATTATTTTAAAATATTATTATTTATAGCTACCTTTTATATTTTACAGAAAAGGGCCAAAAATGCCCTTAACGTATTGGAAATGACTCAAAAATGCCCTCCTTCCACCTATTGGTTCAAATTTGCCTTAATGTTATTTTTAGGCTTAAAAATACCCCTCTCTTAACAGAAAGATGACATGGCATTGATGGGCATTTTAATTGAACATGTGGCATTTATTTAGTGGTCCACATTGTTGCGACCAAAAACACTCACGCAAGTACACGTGATCGTCAAGTAATAGAGTAGTGAGTAGAGTATCGTTCCCACAAAGACTTATGATTAATTGTTGACTAATTCAAACTCAATTAATTTGTCTATCCAAGAGGTTTTTTTCACAAAATAGAGATGTAATTGTTTTACTACCTAAACTACCAAGCAATAATCTAATTAGAGCAATTAACCAAACACATAACAATTTCGAGTAACAAACAGTAGGAGAGGATATTCCAGGGTCACAGGCTAGTTAACAATCGCGTTATGTTCTTGGCTTAAAATGACTAATTGATTTACCTGGATTGTTGATTGACAAGGTTAATGTTACTCATAAGAATATGTCGAGTTCTTACTCGGCTATTCAAGTTAACTCAATGCCTATATGTCTATGGAATTAAGATTAACAAGAATGCATTTACA